CCCTTTTTTGTCTTTTCTCCTTTTTCCCCCCCCCCCCCCCCCCCCCACCCCTCTCCCTCTCTCTTTATTCTTAAAAGTCTCCAGGTTGTAGCCCAGGTGAGGCTGTACCCATGCATGTTCTCATCCCTCCTCTCCATCTCCCAGCCTCGAAAGCCCAGCACTTATAGTCCTACCCAGTTGCACACAAGTTGCCCCTCTGGGGCATTTCATCGAACACTTTGCGAGGGTTAAGTTTGGCTGCTCTAATGGATGATTTCAAAGGTTGTAGGGGTCAATTGACCACCCTTACTCCTCTATGGATCTGCCCTTGGCTACAAAGTGAAGAACTATGCAACTACAAAACAAAAAAACAAAAAATCCTTTTAAATTTTCCGCTTGTTGATTCTTTTCTTTTTTTTCTTACTAGTAAAATTTAATTCCCTTTACTTGAATGTTTATTTACAAAATCCATAAATAAAATCAACAACTATAACTTTAATTATTGTTTGGCAACCAAGAGTATGCAACAGTGATGCACAGTCACCAAAAGAATTCAAATATTTGAAGCTTTACAATGAGGAGTCCTGCCGCAAGTAACTTGGTGTGCTTGTCTCCTTGTGAATCTGCTGCACACACGAAGGGTAGAGGTCTACCAAACAATTGTTAGAATAGGGTTTTGCTTATTAGATTTATGTGGGTTTGAGTTTTAAGAGCATTTGAGTCTATTTACATGAGTTTTTTTTACTATTTTTGAAAGTTTTTATCAAAATGGACATTTACGAAAGTATGGGGTAAATTTTGGCTATTTTTGATAAAAACTCAATTACGAGTATTCACATGAATAGTACATGTCCTAGCAAATTTTTTTTGATGCATTCTCACCTGTTGTCATGGTAACTCAAGAGTTACCACCATTCACATGATATATGAGGAGAAGAATTTGTATAGATTTTGTTGTGGGAAGTGAAAAACATGGTTAGGTATTTATAGAAAAAAAAAATCTAAATTTTTTGGTTTTTTTAACAAATTTTTAATATTTAAATTGGTCATTGATGTCAGCTTGCCCAGTCAATAGCCCATTCAATTCTAGCATTTGGGGTTGCCTAATTTAATGGAGCCCACTTCTTGCCATGACAATTTTTTCTTGGTAGAGGTTGTTTTTGGAGCCTCAAAAGGGAATAAGTGAAAGTACTCTAAGGGGCTTATAACGCCGGTAGGTAAGAGAAGTAACTCATGCACTCTATGCCTTAGAGCACTTCCACCCATGATGCCATGGCAAATGGCAAGCACAAGTAAGGGTAGACACTATTCACATTAAAAAAATGAAAGAATGAAAGAATATAAAGGTGAAGAAAAAAATTCAAAGAAGATAAATATATGAAGAAGAGAGGAAGAGGCCGAAGAAAGAAATATATGCAAAGATAGAGAGGAAGAGAAAGGGTAAGAAATATGTGGGAAAAATAGAAAAATGGAAGTGCAACAAGAAAAACAATTATGGTTCACCGAAAAGAAAAAGAAGTAGGGTTAAAGTTGTTATTTAGTTGGGTATAAATGGGAACCAAGACATTTGGGTATTAACTAAACTAAAAGATCTAAATATTACTTAAAGTTACTAATGTGATATGAATATTAATTAAACTTACTAATAATTTTGGATATAAATGAATACTTAATTCTAAACCTGACAACTTGAAAATTAACTAGAAGATTATTCATCATACATGTGTATTGATACATATACAAACTTCAACGAGTGACGAGGAGGGTACAAGTTGGTTGTGTGTTAGCATGGATTGGAGAAAATGATTATGTATTGTAATGTAGTACATATAAAGCACAATAACAGACATGATGTAACATATATACAATCGTACAAATAGATTATTAAAATAAAAATGCACAAACATAAACTTAAACTTGAAAGTTCTCACATATACAAGCTTAAATAAGTGATGGAGTTGGTATAAATTGGGTGCTATCTTCATTGGTGCCCCATTAAAGGGAAGTCTCGTAGAGCTATATGGGATTGAAGAGAATTGTTATCCCTAGAGCATCTCCAGTGGAGGAGTGTATAATGAGGTGTATGTTAAATATACACCATTTGTGATCGGAATCACCTGCAATAAGGAGGTGTAAACGATTGTAAATTTGCATAACAATCGTGAGATGCAAATTTAGATACACAAGTGCATCCTTTTTTACATTCCTTGCAGGTGTGGCCTACATGAGAAAAAGTGAGAAAAAGTGGACAAAAATGAGCAAAATCAATTATACATCTTCCTCATTAGAGTAAAAACCACATTTACAACTCCTGGAGGTATAAAGGAAATGTAAAAGTGGATTTACACTCCTGAAAATACAAACCCCACTGTGGATGCTATAACAAGAAGGCTATTGGTACAAATGAGCTTAATTAGTTTAAAATAAATGGTAATTAAGGGTATAAATTAATGGGTATTTATGATAGAGTGGTGATTTCCCCACTCCTTTTTCTCCTATTTTATCCACTTACACTCATTTTTTTATAACTAAAAAAGGAGTGTAAGTGAATAAAATAGGAGTGGGGAAATCATTGCCCTTATGATATAGCTGATAGTTATTAGTTACAACGACTGTACAAGTTTTAAGTGTAACGCGTGCCAATCAAATCAAAATAGTTGAGACCTGAGAGAGTAAGAACTCCCAAGTCTACAAAAGCAACGAAAATTCTACCACACCCAGAGTCGCTGACTCACACTCAGACCCCCCGATCCTGAAAACGAAAAGCAAACGAAACAGAAACACTGAAATCAGATCCAAAGACCCAAACGCAGTTCCTTCCTGAAATGGGTTTTGCAGCGCGTGATCTTGGAGGTTCCATTTGAAATGCAGCAGAATCTGTTTCCCTTCGGCCGCGTTTTGGGAAATCCGTTTTTGTTCAATGGCGATTTGAGCGAGGGCTTGGAGAGTCCTGGGGTTTTGTTCTTGGTCCCCTTTTTGTTGTTCCAAGGTGGTGAGATGGATTTGTCTAAGGTCGGCGAGAAAATTCTGAGCTCCGTTAGGTCTGCCAGATCGCTTGGCCTTCTTCCTTCTGCTTCTGATCGCCCCGAGGTGATTGAATTTCAAGTTTTGCTCATAATGCAGCTTTGCTGCGCCCCAATTCAATGTGTTTCGTGTTTGGTTTGATGCATTTTGATTATTTCGGACTAAAAATGAGTTCAAATTATGTAATTAGGTATTTTAATTTGACAATGCTTAATCCAAGTGCATGGATATTGCTTTACATACTAATAATAGTTGATTGTAATTTTAATTGTGGTTTTGTGGCAATCAAGCAGAGGTTTAAGTTAAATGAGTAACATTTTAAGAGCAATGCTTCTTAATCTGACAGTTGTAGTTAATTCATTGTTGAAAAGGACAGAAAATGGTTGTGTTCACTGCGAAATATAGCTGCTTGGTACAGGCCTAGCATTTGTTTTCTGTCATAAATGTACTGATAGTATTGGAAAGAAAAGCGTTGTTTTGATTTGTGTGTTTGTTTATCTTCTCGAACAGGTTCCCGCGCGAGCTGCGGCTGCTGCAGCTGTTGCTCGTGCTATTGCCGGACTGCCTCCACACCAAAGGTTTGGTCTCTCATCAAGCTCTCAAGAACTGAGCTCAATATATGGAAGCACACCGCAAGGTCCAGTAGTGGAGGAGATAGAGGAAGAATTTTATGAAGAGGTGCTACTTATATCAATATGGTTTCAATGTGGGAGTGCTTATGACGTGTACTGCCCTTTAATGTTAGGATACTTTAGTTTTTTTCTAAGTCATTGACATGCTTCAAATAGCAGAAAGGTTGCTAATGTGATCTCTTTTGACTGAGTAACAGACAAATTTTCTTAACAACCACAATAAGACAAATGCTAATTAAGTTCCACAATAAGACAAATGCTAATTAAGTTCCTGATAAAGTTTTTCACTTATAAAACATTGGTGTCAATAAGGAGGCTAGCCTTCATGAGATTTATATTCCTGGAACTTCTTCACATGTTTGATTGATTTACTACTCTCCTTGATGATGCTGACAGTCATACATTTTCATTTTTTAAATAATAAGTTTAGTCATGTTATAGTGGCGTAAGAAGCTGTTTCCTTACCATTATGCAGTTGATGACAAGAGGGAGCAAATCATTGATATGCATGACAACTTGGATTTGCTATCTCAACCTTAAAAATGATTCGTAGTCCAAATATGTGTTCTCCACACGTAAAATTTGGAATTCTGGACTTGTAATTGCCTTAAATCTGGACATATATGATGTGTGGTAAAGAAATTAATTTTTTCATAATTCTGCCACTCCATTCTCTTTTTTCCTTGTTATTATGACCCTCTCTCTTTCCATACACCTTAGAAGTCAGTTAGGGTACAAACAAAATGAAGGAACCATTTTTATGGAAATTCATGCTACTCATTGAGAGCATCTACTGTTTTATTATATCTTCTTTGGTAGTTTTCATCTCCATTCTTTTGCACTGTAATAAACTCGATAAAGCTCCACTTCTTAACTGATTCTTTACCTAAGTAGTTACTGTTTCTATGTGGATTAAGTTTTGAAATATCTGTCTAAAAGGCTTTTGTTATTACCTGTATGCAGGATTTTGATCCAGTTAGACATATTCTGGAGCATATTCCATCTGAAGAAAATGAACTGACTTATTTTGAGAGACAGGTATTTTTCCAGTTTATCAATCTCTCCCCTAATTAACAAATTTCAGTTTCTTCATTTTGTTCAGCATGTATGGAAGGTAAATGTGTTTTTCAGGTTCCAATGTATAATTCCAATGTTTTGTTTGCACTAGGTCAATTAATTTATCAACATTTTGTTAAATGGTTTCATTATTGTCTAAATTTCTGCATAAAGTGAGCACATTTTCTTGAACTCCTTGTTTCAATCTTGTTTGAGAAGGTTTAATCATTTGTCATTTTGAGGCAAAGTAGTATACATGTGATGCCAAAGTCATTTGGGAAATTATTTTCACATGTTGGTGTTAGTTACATATACATAACCGATCGACTGCCTCCATTTGCAGTTAGTTTGCTCCTCCATGCTCAAATGGCAAAAGTAACCTGTTTGATGATTTTAACCAATTGTTTTCTGCTAATTATCAAGGTTTTGAACCAACCAATGCTTTTGTTAGGCTTATGTGCTTGGTGATGACTTCATTCTGTAGTACTGTCAGATTCGTTACTTAGGTTTGATGAAGTAAATGAGCCTCGTGATATAGCTTGTGGCAGAAATGACATGTGTATTAACATGTTTTAGGATCTGTGCATGCATAGCCTTTCATTTTTCTCTGATAATCATACTTCCTCTGTTACATCAAGAGCACTCCAACATAATTGTCTTGCTTTGGATGGTGTTTTCATTTTTTTTAATCGACTTTGTACATTTGCATGTCCTTGTCTAGGTAATTGTGATACTTACAATGCTGCCCTCATCTTTTGTGATTATAGAATGGTCATTGTCTATATTTGAATTATTGTGGCATGATTAGTTGATTTGTAATATTCAATTCTATTGGTGAGGTTCTTTCAACTTTTTGGTTTAACAATATTTTCTACCATCTAAAATTTTCCTTATAGGCCACTCTTAGATTAGCACAACTGGATAGAGTAGCAGAACGTTTATCCCGCAATGTTATGGAACATCACGAAGTTATGGGTAAGCATTAATTAGAATCTCTAAACCTGTTCTGCAATTTATTGAAGTATATTTAAGGAAGTGTCTTTTTATTGATTTATTTAGTTTCTCTCTGTTGACCTGGGGCTACTTGGTGGGCTGAACATAGTTTATCGCCGAAGTTTAATTACAAAATATTTCAGTTTCAAATGAGATGTTGATACTTACTTTTGGCCAGTGAAGGGGATGCATTTAGTCAGGGAATTGGAGAAAGACTTGAAAGTTGCAAATGTCATTTGCATGGTAAGTCCTTATAGGATGTGTGATATGGAATGTGGTGAATCTGAATTTTCCATATTGATTATTCAGCATAACTCCTTTTATATGTTTGATTTGGATTTTTATTTACAGTTTTCGTAATCGTATGTGCAGAATGGACGACGTCATCTTACCTCATCAAGGAATGAGGTTTCTAGAGATCTCATCGTGAATTCCAATTCCAAAAAGAAACAAGCTCTTCTGGTATTTTCCTTACTTTATGCATGGTAGCAGTAACAATCTTTTATTTGACTTTAGCTTTCTGGTTTCCCAATTTTGTTGGATATTGTACTGAAACACCGATTTTTAATTTTACTGAAACTATCGATGTTGCCGAAATGTCTTTCAGAGAATCCTGGAAAGATATTGCTTCGTCCCCTTTCGAGTATCGACAACCTCATTTTAGGGATATTTCGGCAATATTGGATAGTTTTAAAAACCTTGCATCATAGTCACTTCGCGCAAGTAGTTTTCATTGCATAAGCATAACCCGACGGATATGGTTTCATTTGAAATGCAGGACATGCTTCCTGTGTTAACTGAGCTTTGTCATGCATCGGAAATGCAAGCAGAACTTGAGAATCTTGTTGAGGAAGGAAATTACTGCAAGGTGGGTGTATATTTCTGTTCTGGTTGCAGTTTATGGTATATGTGCTGCAAGTTTCCAGTTTCATTTTCATGTTAAATATATAATCTTCTTAATTAAGTGGCGCTCCTAAGGTATTTGCTTAAATGCTCCTCATGTTTTCAGGCCTTTCAAGTCCTGTCTGAGTATTTACAGCTGTTAGATAGTTTTTCAGAACTTTCTGCAGTACAAGAGATGAGTCGTGGTGTAGAGGCAAGTATTGAATTACTATTAAGAAGCATTTTTGGTCAACAGATTCAATAATATTGCATTACTTTTCTGGATATTTAAATAGTTTAAGGTTTTTATTAAGCAGTATGTCATCTTCACTGCTGATACTGAACTTTTCTGTTGCCAATATTTTTTACTAGGGTTAAAAAGAGTCTTTAGTTTATGGCTTACCTGTTTCCCCATTGAGAGGCTACTTGATTAGAATCAATTAGATTAGAATACAAACCAAACAAACTGTATTTTGATACTAGAGCAGGAGATCCTCAGTGCGAATCCTTGCAATTGCAACCTCCCAATATAATTTGAATATGTGCTTGGCTCTAGTGCTGGATAGACAGGTATTGCAACCTCCCAAATTCCCAATATAATTTGCAACCTCAGTGCGAACCCACATGGGAAGGGCATGTTAAAATTTAAAATAATCGTCGGTCACATCACTGCAGGTTAAGTTTCTGGGAATAGTGGTATACCAACGAACTTTATCATGCTTAGCATTTTGTGCATAAAAAGAGGCGGAATCTGGAACTCACTTGTTCTTGCATTGTTCATATGCTTGGGGGATGTGGTGGCAGTTGGTTGAGGTGGCAGGGTTAATTGGGTTATCCCTTAGTCACCACCCTCAAACATTCTTTGTGAAATTCATTTATTTTGATGGTGGAAGGAGGGCAAGAATTTTTGTGAAATTTTGCAGGACTAGCTGGTTCTTGGGTAATTTGGTTGGAGAGAAATAGGTGAATTTTTAAGAATTATAGTCTTTTGGGGAAAAGTCAGGTTCTGGCATCCTTATGCACTTATCTTTCTCCAGATTTTAGGGATCTCTCATTTTCTGTAATTTTATTACATTGGGGAGCTACTGTAGGTAGTTTCTAGAGTTGTCTTACAATGTGAGGGGTGCAATTTGTTTTTTATGAGAGTTGTAACATTTTGTTGGTGGACCTCTTGTTCATTGAGCATTGTTCTGTGTTTTTGTGTTTCTCTAATAAAATTTTGTTTCTCATTAAAAAAAAAAACTTATCATTTTATTTTTTTCATAACATGGATGCAGGTTTGGCTGGGAAAAACTCTTCAAAAGCTGGATTCATTGTTGCTAGGAGTGTGCCAGGAGTTCAAAGAGGAGGGCTATATAACTGTCAGTGGTTTTTTTTTTCTTTCTGTGAACTGGATCGTTAATTTCTTTCAAATGCTGCATAGATGAAGTTTTGAATTTCTACTCAAGTATCTTTACATGAAACTGTGCTTATTTTACTTTGATAGTCCTCATAACTTATATATCCTTTTAAGTCATCATTGTCCCTTATGCAATGTTGATATGATACATCATAGATAATAGCGATCCCATGGTTCAGTTTTCGATAAAAATATCTACTCTCTTCATCGTATTTTAGGAGATCAGTACAATATCACTTATACAAGAGGGATGGATCAACTAGTCATGTACTTTAGAAACTTCTTTCCCTTTATTTTATGTTCTGCTCCAGTCAAGGAACGTAGTATTTTTGCTCTCACCCTATGTTCTGCTCAGTCAGTCTGAGTTTCCTTTGCTTTGTTACATTTAACATCTGAATTGAGAAACAACCTGTCTGATCAAATCATGTAGTGAAGTAAAGCAAATCCTGCACTCCCAGGTGCAATTTATCCCTTGTGTTTTTATGATGGGGGAGTGCATGAAGACTTTTTGGAGTGCCAATAACAGTTCCCTAATTTAATAGGAAAAAAAGAAAAGGCTAAACTAGGGCTACTATGGAAGACAGCAAACAGAAATAAAATAAAAGCTATCAACAAATTTAAACATCCATAAGAAAAGTCAAATCTCCAATGGACTGAATGGGTTAAGAGAGATTTGCAAAAAATAGCATCATTAAACATAAGTGGTTATTTTGCTCAAGCTAGTACTGGAGCTTTCTAGTTAATGTAGGTACACCTTGCAATTCTATGGCCATTTAGTGAGCATGCACAAACACACTAGTATTTTGAGAATCATCATTCTTCTCTTTTTGTTCAGGGAAAAGTTTTAGTTGAGGGATCCATTGTATTACACTTTCAGTTTTATGCAATTTTTATGTTGACTTGATACAGTCTTCAAATGCTGAACAGGTGGTTGATGCTTATGCACTAATTGGGGATATCTCTGGTCTTGCTGAGAAGATACAAAGTTTCTTTATGCAGGAAGTTCTCTCAGAAACCCACTCTATATTGAAGAATATTGTGCAAGAGGTGTGCTGATATAGTTATAACTTATCAGTAGAATAGTACACGTACATAGGTACTGAAGTGCTAGGGTAACAAACATAAAGATGACTCCACATAATTGTGGATTTATTTCTTAGAAATTTTGTTTTGTATTTGCCCCCTATAGTGTGGAAACATCGAACTTTGTACTGGGATAAGTTGATGAATAGGTATTAGAGAAGTCTAGGGGTATGCAATTAGGACACAGAGGAGTTTCAGATAAGGCATTGTTCTTTGGTAACAACTCCAGGGACGCTGCAGTAACAGGTGGCTATGGAAGGCTTTCTGATGATGGGTTTACAAAAATGGGTTCTTAAGATTAACTCAAGCCAAGCAACATATCAAGCTGGGTGGCTGGATTCAGGTAGAAGGGTTGCAGGGTTGAAGGCAGTGAATAAAAAGCGGAGGTTATTTGAGGAAATATTACAAATTAGAAGGGAGCCTGCATTCAATCCAGGTTCTCTTGATATAGCTGGGCATTTCAAAATCACAGTTAAGTCCGGTCTTGGGGTTATTGTGGGTAGCATGAAAGTTCAGTCTTATCATTGCAAAGGTAGAAGATGAAGAACGGGGTTGAAGGGGTACACTTGGGAGCCAAAAAATGATTAGGGCGCCTGTATCCTACAGGGTGAAAAACAGAAAAAATTGTATGGGGGTTGTGAAGACATTGTCTTGGAGCAGAAATCAGCACATCTCTCCTTAAGGCCTGTTGTACCACGAGGGTTCAATGTTGTCCTTGTCTGTTCTTAAAAGTTTTCTGCAGTCTGCACAGATTTGTCTGCTATGCCAACTTTTAAGTTGGGAAGTAAGAAATGAAGATTAGAAAGGGGATAGAAGGATTGATAGACCCAGAGGGCCTACTTAATGAAGGGGTAATACTTTGCTGAGGAAAAGTTAGTATGTACTTATACAGGCACAAGAATTAGAAACGTTGGGAGAGGGACTGAACCTCGAGATTGTTGGTTGTGGGGAGCAGAATAGAGGATAAGTTACCCATCTCAAGAGAGATACTTGGGCTGATGACTTAAATGTTGCTAGATGTAATGGCCCTAATTTTACAAAGCCCAGACCAGTAGCAATTCTTATGGCCTTGTCAGAGGCTGGGTATTGGCCCGATCCGTGAGAGCTTTTAACAACACAGGCTTGGACCTAGTCTGATGCGAAATTATTTGTTGTAATTTCAAGGCAAAGCCTCAAAGTAGATTCATCTGGGGCAAGTCTAATAATGTTACGATGTGTTCCAAATAAGAAGACCAAGCACCTGCACATCCCCTCATTGCTCTATAGCCTAGGGATGCTCATTTTTTCTGCATCGCTCTTTCACCCTTAAACCTTGAGCAAGGCCGTTGCAAGTGCTACGAATTTGTATTATATGTGCTTTGGATAGAGATTGTTATTCCTTGTTGGTGGAGGAGTTTTTAGGGGCTAGTGCAAATAAGGTGGTCAGTACTTTGAGGCGCTGTGCAGTTTTGGCAGTTTTTTGGATAGAAAGAAACAATACAAATTCTGAAGATAAGAACGAGATGGATTTTCTTTTGGGGTGGAGTATTTTTGGCATATCCTTTAGAAACAGTCCGTTTAGTTTGATCTATCTTTTATTGGGGGTACATTGGTTTGATTGTTTTGTTTGTGCAGTTTATCGTAGATTTGTTTGGCTTAAAGAGAGTACCTATTTTTATTTTCTCTATAAAAGTTGTGTTTCTTATTTTTTTTAAAATAGATGGTAAGGTCTGTGGTGTTTATTTTAGAGCTTTATTGTTAGAGGATGTTTAAACTTAGATGACTAATTCATCTTTGCAGGATAAGGGAGTTCACATGCAAAATAGTCGGTATGTTTTTCTGTATCTACCAGTGCTTGTATCATAATGTAACAGAACTCTACTTCTGGCATGCTTGCTAATGCATTTCTATTTGATTCCAGACTTACCTACAGTGATCTATGCCTTCAGATACCTGAGCCTAAGTTTAGGCAGTGTTTGTTAAATACGCTAGCTATCCTATTCAAGTTGATGTGTTCATATCATGAAATCATGGGATTTCAGCTGGGTAATAAGGTACACTTCGATTCACCGTTTTAACTTGTTCATATTCTTATTTATATGTTTTGGTAACTTATTCATATTTTGGTTGTATATTTGGTCATTTATTACATGTACTGTTTGTTATTTTTCCAAAATTTTGAATAATATTAGTTGGTACTTCCTCTAGGTTATACCATTGGCTAGTTGAGCATATCTGATTGTATTTTTAAACCCCTTGTTTACAACTTAACCTTTCCTTCAGAAAGTTTTTAAATATACAGTACTGTCTAATCATTTTCTGTTTTCCTTCCCAGTTACGACTGAAAAACTGTATTGGAATATTCACTTAAATGTATTAATGTATCAATTATACAATAGATCAACTTATTTTTGTCTGTTACTACTTTTCTTCTGGATACTAGAAAAACCTGTTTTTCTTTGTTCTAGGATGCAGCAAGTAAAGCTTCAAGCATGACGCATAAGGAAAGTGAAATCTCTCAGACTCCAGGAGGGGTTCATCAAATTTTGTCTCCTTGCTCTTCCCAAAAAGTTAATGGCTCTCTCTTAGAATCTGTAGATATAATGCACGATTCATCTTACATAGAGGAATCTACAAATACCAGCTCTTCAATCGAGTCTACTGGAAACACATCTTCGATGTGTACTAGTTCTGGCGATTTAGTTGATGAGGCTAGGAAGGATGACAATGCAGCATCAACAAGTGGATCCCCATGGTACCAACTGCGGAAAGATGCCACAGCATTTGTTTCACAAACCCTTCAGAGGGGACGCAAAAATCTTTGGCAACTTACAACTACTCGTGTATCAGTCTTGCTTTCTTCTGCTTCAGTTTCTTCTGCTAGTATACACCAATTCTTGAAAAACTATGAAGATCTGAGTGTCTTCATCTTGGCTGGAGAAGCATTTTGCGGATTTGAAGCGACTGACTTCAGGCAGAAGTTGAAGGCAGTTTGTGAAAATTATTTTGTAGCTTTTCATCGGCAGAATATACATGTAAGTTTACTTCAGAGGCCTTGCCCTTCAAATAGTTGCTATGCCATGTGATGGTTGATATCTTCTTTTTGTTCCTTTGTTATGTTCTATCTCATTATTTATAGAAGGGACTGCTTACTGGTTAAGAAATTATAGATTGTTATGAACTTTTGACCAAATTAGAGTTGTGGACTACCACACAGCTTTCACATGCGTGTTTGTTCCATTCATACAATAATATTTTAATCCATATTCCATATTGTTAGGATATTGGCTCGTCAAATATGTCCTAGTTGGTTTAGGATTGTTTTAGGAAAATAGGTATACCAGTTCTTGTCCTAGAGGGATTAGGAAAGAATTTCAGTTTTCCTTATTCAATTCAGGTTTGGATTTCTAGAAGTCTATTAGGATTTGGATAAGTGTAATTTCCTAATCCACTTAGGAATAGGAATTCAATCAGCCTTGGGACATGTAAGCCAACTCTATATCTATAAATAGGGTGCGGCAGGGCTTATTTTACAATAAGAAAAACAGCCAGAGACAGCCAAGAGTTATGAGATTAGTTCTAGGGTTGCAAAAGTTCTATAATCTCTATTATTAATCAAAGAAGCGGTGATTTCTCTATCTAGAGAAATCACAACTGAACGTAGGCAAAAGTTCTGCCGAACCAGTATAATTCTTGTGTGTTTCTAAGTTTTCTAATATTTGCTAGTTTAGTCTATTGCCGTTGGTTACATTAAAGAACAAGATCTAGTAGGCGGGTTATTTAACACATATTCCTTTACTTGTCCAAAACATGTACATCACATTAAAGATAAAACACTATTTAGTTGGCATGTGTATCACTGATGCTCAACCATGGTTGTCAAATCACGTGTTCCCCTGTTGTGTACAATTCAAATGTGTTATACTCTGCACAACACGGTCCAGATGCACTTACCTATAATGACAATTGACACTTTTTTTTTCAGGCGCTTAAAATGGTGTTGGAAAAAGAAATTTGGTTGATAATGCCACCAGATACGGTACAACAAATTACATTTCCTGGGCTTCTTGGTGATGGAGCACCTCTAATTGTTCCATCTGATGGTAACTCTACAAATGCCAGGGTTCTACATTCTGACAAGTCTACCAAATTGGTTGATACTGGTATGAAGAAATGCGGGTTCTCTAATTGGCTTAGAAATGGAAACCCATTTTTGATAAAGCTGACACATACTTCCAAAGAAGGTCTTAAATGGAATGGTGCCATTTCTAGTGAAATTGATGGAAATTTTAGTGAAAGGCTTGGTGATAAGGTCTCTCCACGAAAGAGTGATGGAAGTCATTCAAATGGTGCTAATTCTGTTCTGGAAGAAGAAAATGAAGATCTTCTTGCAGACTTTATTGATGAGGATAGTCAACTCCCAAGTCGAATTTCCAAACCCAAACTCCTGAGAAATCAATCCTCACATTATAATGATGGAGATATAATAGCCCAAACTGGATCATCCATTTGTCTTCTAAGGTGAAATGCTCTTTACTACTGTATAGTTTTTAGCTCTTTCGAATACAAAAGCCGGAATTATGTTATTTTCAATGGATGCATAATCAGTTGATCTATATGTTCTTTTACGTATCAGGTCAATGGATAAATATGCCAGGCTTATGCAGAAATTAGAAATAGCTAACGTTGAGTTCTTCAAGGTATCTTCTACTTTATGTGTACCTTTTTTCTCTCTTCTGTCTTTTTTTTTCCTTCCCTTGCTGCGCTTATTGATAAATACCTATGATGAGTCTATTTTCCTGATTCAGTATATTGTTGCAGGGGATATGCCAGTTGTTTGAGGTATTTTTTCATTTTGTATTTGAAACATTTGCTCAGCAAAACAGCAATTCAGGTGGAAAAGGCTCACCTGATCCTATTAATTGTAAGTCAATTTTTTTATATTTGCTTCATACTGCATTGTCGTCTTTATCTGATCCTCTACTGCTTTTCTAGCTTTCAGTTATTTGTTTGCATTGTCCTATGGCAAAGCATTAGTTTAGATATGTAGATTACAGCTACTTTCACTTTGTGATGCGCACTGGAAAATATTGTCATACACAGATCGGCTGAAGACAGCGTTGTCCAGAATACAACAGGACTGTGACCAGTGGATAAGGGCCCCATCATCTTCACCCACATCTTTGAATTCAGCATTTGCACACACAGACATAACACCTATGAGTCCTCCCAGTACAAACTTTGGTAACACACCAGGAACATCCATCGGTCTCAAGGTATTCATTAAAAATCTTATGGTCCTCATCGATCATCTTTTAGATAGAAAAATAACCCGTAACTCTTTATTCCAACTTTTTGAGTTTGATGTGCTTTACTTTTCCATTTATTTACATGCCCTAAAGTTAAAAAGTTGCAGTCCACGCTTTCTGGAACACGGATTTCCAGTTTACCATATGGTCTACAGAACATAAATGGGTCGTGGTGCTACACTCATACAAGACGTTTCACTTACAATGCTGTTTGGAAATCTTCAATCTAGTTATTCTTTTTAAAATCTCGTTTGGAGCTTTGTAATATTGCTGTTTTTGCTATATAATTTCGTAATCTAATGAAATTCCTTATTTAATTTTCTATTATGCTATCCCGTGATGGCATGGAAGTTACCAGAAGTTCAATAGTCTCATTACTTTAATTAGGATTGAAGTTCATATGCAATGTAAATGTGCTTTAAGTTGCACGACCATTATGTTGCAGGAAAGATGCGCAGGTGCTGACACCATCTCACTTGTTGCTCGAATGTTGCATAGATCCAAGGCTCATCTCCAGACAATGCTTCTTCAAAATAATGGTGCTGTAGTTGAAGACTTCTATGTGCATCTGGTAGGTTACTTTGTTATTATCTGTTGAAATTTTTCAGGAGTTTTCATGGTGTTTTGGCGACTTGTTGAAATGATGTGATGTGATCCTAGTTTAACTTGCCATACTTGATGATTCAATGAGCATTTGGCTAAGAATATGTAATATAAGTATGAAATGATTCATATCACCATTGATTCTCATAAGTTAATATCTATGTGATATGGATGATTCTACGAGGGAGTTGTATTTGGATTGCAAACTGGTGCTTCTTAGAAACTTGCCAATGCACTTTTTACAGTCATAAAATGAAGCCAAATTAAAAGACACATTTTGGAATACAAAAGCATGTGCACACTTGCTGGATACTTATGGATACTATGCACTTAGAACAGGTTGATGCCCATTTAACATTTGTATTTTCTTTTTGTACTAGACATGCTTGTGTAGTTAATAATATAATTTAAAGAAAGATATTGATTGCCATTCAGGCATAATAATCATTCATAAAACTTACGATATTCAACAAGATCATCCAACTTAAATTGTGATCCCTATGTAAAAAGCCAATAAAACAAGACAATTCTGCCTCTTATTTCTCTGGTTTTTCAAAATTTTCAAAGACCCCATGCCTAACAACATCGTGTGGGCTGGGGACACAGAAAAAAGGTTTGCGAGGCATAAGCCTCTTATGCCTTCTCCAAAGAGTGCTGTGAGGAGTACACCATACCTGCACTATGAGATATTACGAGCACCCGCTCTATGGCTACCGGCTATGTTTATCTATCTTTTGTGTTTTCTTTTTTTGTTTTTCAGTTAAGGAATGAAATGTTTTGACAAACCATTAATTTTCTTGATGACAATCAGGTAGATGCTGTACCGGATCTTATAGAGCACATTCATAGGACAACAGCAAGACAACTGCTCCATATTAATGGGTAAGACCGGATAATTCATGGCTAGGTTGGGTTTTTTTTTACCAATTGGTGTTCCTTTCTGTAGATAAATCGAAAACATCTTTTTATAAATACAAATTTCCCTTTTCTCTTGGTCTCTACTTTGTCTTTTCACCATGTGAAGATAAAGTCCTAGTTGTAATTATATGATGGAAACAAAAACAAAACAAATAAAGGAAAAAAGTTGAAGTTCCCGTTTTGATCAACAATAGCGCAATATTGAGAAACTCTGTCATATATTTACTCCCGTTATGATATGTTTGCAAGTAAGATATTCGTTCGGGTTTAGCATATTCTGGGCTATTATCTATGTTTTATTATTATTTAGTCTTTGGTAATGGAGGTGGATTATCTATGTTATTTACCATAAAGTCTCTTATGGATAACTATATTCTGCAGTTATGTTGATCGGATTGCCAATGCAAAATGGGAAGTAAAAGAGCTTGGCTTAGAGCATAATGGGTTAGTTTCTTTAGATGTTATCTTATATTTATTTGAAGTTTCCATGTTTCATTTTTGTGATCTTGTAGACTGCTATTGACATTGATCTTTCAGATTTGTTATTTATGCATGTTATGCCTTCTTTGGGTCAGCTAGTTCTTTACACATCAAACATCTATGTGTAGCTAAATGAGGATTACGTGTTTGGAAATAATGGTTCTGTGGTTGCAATTTAGATCTTGGATGATAATCAAACTTCAATGATGGCATGATGCTAATGGCTCTTCAATATCAGAATTACAATTTCATTTCAAACTTTTTTACAATTATGTATATACTAACAAGAATTATTAAATAGGTCAATAACTTTATTTTAAGTACATTTAAATAGTAAAGGGCTAGATTATTGTTTGGATTTAAAAAATTGAAACTTGAAAAACAAAATCATATTTTATTTATAAAGAAAACATTGATTTGTAAAATATATTCTTAGAGAAACGGAGGCGGGTCATCGTCCCTTTTTTTGGACCCAAGGCCGGTCTCGCATCGGCCGATCCGGGCAGAAGACATTGTCAGGTGGGGAATTTGGCTGGGGCGTCTTGATTTTATTTATGGCATTCTTGTTAATTACTTTTGTGACATGTTGAGTTTGGGTGCTTGCTTAAATATATCATTTCCTACAAATTCAGAAGTCTCAGAATATTTTTTTACCGACCATAAATTATTTTAGCCTTACAATTTAGGTTGAATACACTGTTCCTCTTTCCTTGTCAGTCCTTGATTGTGTTGGTCGTCTATTTGTACGTGCAAGAGTTTCAAATTTGTGACAGATTCTTGCTGGAATGCCTATCTTCTTCATGTTCTCTCTCTAGTACCATATGATAATTATTAAGTGTTCTGACATGAGTTGTTGCCTTCAATAGGTATGTTGACTTGTTGTTGGGAGAATTTAAGCACTATAAAACAAGGCTTGCTCATGGGGGAATTCGCAAGGAGGTAATAATTGGCAGTTAAATTAAATTTTCTAGGAGCTACCAGAAGAAAATTGAGAAATTGCTCCTTTTTCCTATATGGTTGTGGCCAACTTTTATAGCTGTTACATGAGATGGTTTTTTTTGGGTCAAGTATGAGATGTTTACTTTGTGCAATATATGTTAATACCATTTGTTCATTGCGTCATGTTGGTATGGATGTCTATTATTTTATTTTTATTTATTGGAGTCGGGCAGTGAGGAATGGGTTTGGATGGTGAATGGATGACTTGATTGTTTCTCAGCCGGAAGTTGTGAAATCTTTGGTTCTGTTATGCCATTCTGCTGTATCTAAAGTTCCTTTTTTTCCCAGGAAAAAGATAATAAGTCAGGGATGCATTGTATATAATGGTCTGAGCTTTGTGACATGACTGAACTGCCAAATATTAAATTTGTATCTCTTTATTGTAATGAATCACCACTTGGTTGGCCAATGGGCATTAATTATCTGGTCTAAAGTAGGCGTGTATTTTAAGGATAAAAATTTGATTTGATACTGTACATGTAGGTTCAAGACCTCCTCTTAGAATATGGGCTTAAAATTGTTTCCCAGACTCTCATTGAAGGCCTCTCACGTGTTAAGAGGTGTACGGATGAAGGACGGGCTCTCATGTCATTAGATCTTCAGGTTCTTTTTCAACTTTGGCAGGATTTGTGCATTTCAATTCTCTCCTCTCTTGCAGCTTAATATACTTCAGGACTCCTTTATGCGTTTCAGGTTTTGATCAATGGCCTCCAACATTTTGTCTCCATGAACGTGAAGCCCCACTTACAAATTGTTGAAGCCTTCATCAAGGTAAGCTCAACCCTAGACTGCGTATTTAAGATCATATGGAATGATGTTGATTAAATTATGGAGATAAACAAGTAGAAATTTTTTGTGCCAATGGGGGTCTGCAGACTAACTGTCACTCTCTTTCTACTCTTGATCAGGCATACTATCTTCCAGAAACGGAATATGTGCACTGGGCACGTGCTCACCCGGTAAGAAATTTCATTTCTGTGGACATATTCTGGCTTTGGACACATATTTTATCTTACATTATGAATATTTTCCTTTTCCTTTGCAGGAATACACAAAAAATCAAATTGTTGGGTTGGTCAACCTTGTTGCCTCTATGAAAGGTTGGAAGAGAAAAACCAGATTGGAAGTGCTGGAAAAGATTGAATGAGCATGTAACTTTGGATCACTGTGGTAGGTTTAATCATATAGAACCTCACACTCGTTGCTTGTCACTCTCACGTTTGCACTTAATTTTTCCAATGAGCTATGTATATTTTAATTTTTCTTCATGATGCACTGTAAATGTTGATCCAGGTTGTATATCTTCCTCGTGTCTCAGTTTGTGTAATCTATTGCCATCCCTTGTAGGGACGATTAAATGTATTTTTTGGATCACTCGAGTCTTGAAATAATGGAGATATATCAAGAGAAAAGAAAATACAATTGGAATCATAGGCTTACTTTCAAACTAGTTACCTACTTTTGAGCACATGCTTTTGAATTTGCTGTAGAATCGATGATGGTATAAATTTCGATGCAGTTTGTGAAAATCTCTCTCTCTCTCTCTCTCTCTCTCTCTCTCTCTCTCTCCGTGGCGAAGGCAAAGATATATTATTCATATTTGATCAAAAGTTGGGTCTGGTTCATGGAAAAAGGGGCTTGGAAATGAGAAATTATTTGATTTCCCATGTTTGGGAAATGATTTTATGGCACATGGAAAAATAGGGGAAAATATAGTTCTCCATCCAGCTTGGGAAATGATTTCCCTCAAGGGAAACCAAGACAAGCATTAATTACAACTTTTTATGACCAATGTACCACTATTAACAATTAAAATACCATGACAAACATGAATTACACTTTTTAATATGCTTTCTGATTTAGGGATATAATTGGAAAACTAAATAAAATATATATACCATTCTTGCACTAATCAAACATGGGAAATGAAATAAAATAATATTTTTCAATTATTTTTCTAGTGTTTATAGGAAAGGAATATTTGATTTCCCTTCCCATGGGAAACTCCATGGAGATTGATTTCCCATCAATTCATTTCCGTGAACCAATGAGTGATTATACCTAATGAGCCTATTCAAGGATAATAGGAGAATATAAAAAAAGGGATTTTGTAGAAATATCACATGAACTTATACCTCAATTTAAATTTGTCATCTTAAACAAAAATTTAAGAGAAATATCACCCGAATTTTTCAAAATCTATAATTTGTGATCTGAATTAATACCATCCAATTTTTCATCTATTATTGAGGGTATTTTAGTCTTTATATTTTGAAGAAAAAAAAAAAAGCCTCTCTTCCTCTCCTCTCCTCCCCCACCCCCTTTCCCCGGTCCCTCTGTTTTTATCTCACCCACGACCTGACCACCCCATCCTCACCTCACCCAGAGCCCCCGCCCCCACCCTCTCATTCTATTTGATGGCTGCTGCCAAGTACTTAAGCGAAAAACAAACAGCACATAGAGTGCTCTCCTTGCCAACATATCAATAATCCAAAATCTAAATCCTTAATTTAATAAACCATTTATTTTGAATTCAGAAAAGTTTAGAAACTTTAGGAATTGAAACAAAGAGAAAAATTCGCAAAAATAAAAAAACACAAACTCACAAATATTATTAACTTGGTAGGCATTAAGATCGTTTTATCCATGGGAGTCAAATGGAGGTAGAGGGTGGGGCTGGGTTGCGGGTGGGGATGGGGATGGGGATGGGGTGCTCAGGTCGTGGGGGAGAAAAGAAACAGACGAGAGGGGAGGTGTGGTTGGGGAGGAAGGGAGAATAGAGAGAGACGACAGGGGGGATGGAAAAAAAAAGGGACATTTTGGAAAAAGCAAAAGGAGAGAGAAAAATTTTAAAAAAAGCAAAATTAGACAAAAATGCCCTTATTTATTTTTAGATGTCCTAAGGAATTCAATACATTTGCATGTCTTTAATTTGAAAGTTGAGTAGTTTTTTTGTCTTTTTTGAAAAAGCTTTGGCTTTTTCCAAAAGTGAAATTTTTTTTATGTCTAAAACCTAAAAACCCTAAAAAAAAAAGGGTGATTCACTATTATACCCAATATAGGGGCCCAAATTATAAAAATACCTCATGTGAAATGGACTTTAGAAACACACTAAAAACTCATTTACAACATAACAAAGAGGCTTTTAACTTCTTATAAATTACAAAACTGTCATCAATTTCTTAAAACAAGCCCAACCCCAAAATCTTATAAAAATACTCAAAACACTCAATATGACATCAAAGTAATTTAATAATCAATATTAAATTCAATAAGGCTAAATGTTATTTTTTGGGTTTTTTTGGGGTTTGTTTATAGAAATTCAATGATTTAGGTTTTATTTATAATATTAGTGCTAAGAATATGTATATCACTAAATATCTCCCAAAAAAAAAATGCAATTTTCAATTTTCTTTCTTTATTTTTTTAATTTTTTAGTGTTTGGTAGGAAAGACCCTGGATTTTTAATGGTTTATTTGAAAATATATACAATTTTGTATATTGATTTTTTCATTTTTTAAACCACCCTTAAAAATAAAAAGATTAAAATACCCTTAATCATGGATGAAAAATTAGATGATGTTAAAGTCAGATAACAAATCATGGATTTTGAAAAATTAAGGTGACATTTCTCTTCAATTTTTTTTTAAGGTGATAAATTAAAACTGATATATAATTTCAGATGACATTTCTATAAATATCCCTATAAAAAAAACTTATTGATGTCTACCTAATGATTAACAAGAATTTTAGAAAGGAGAGAGAAGGGAGAGTGATCAATTATGCGTGATGTTTACATAGGAAAAGCAAGGAGAGAGAAGGGAGGGGTGTGGAACTGAACAAATGATTATAAAAAGGGTAATTTTATTGGCAGCTCATTATTTACTCTTTACACCCCATACGAATTTGTAATATAAATAACCTATTTTACCTTTGTATACAATTACCATTAAGGACAAAAAAATTTAAATTTAAAATTAAAATTGCTCACTACATCCCACATATGTTCTTGCAACCCTAGTTTGACTTTTTTCTCAAACTATCACGTTCCTAAACCCTAAACCCTAGATTTATACGTTTATACTGGTGAAAAAATATCTTGTATTTATTCATGAAGGGTGAGATTGAAGTTAGAGAGTCTTTGAATGAGGTACGAGTTTATTTTTTGGCGTTTTGCAAGTTCAGTATTTCATAACGGTCACTGGTTGCATTCAACACATCAGTACCGAACGCGACAGGTAAATTCGGTGGGATGCCACTGAAACGTTGCACCGTTTTCGGTTGGGTTTGACCGGTCAGAAACTTAATATTCGGTGGAGATCCACCGTAAGATGGAACGTAGTTCAGTGGTTTACTACCGAAATTTTACCTGCGTTTCAGTGGCATCCAACCGAAATTTATTTATTTTTTCAGTAATTTATTGCCGACCACAAATTTAATCCAAGTTATTTTGATCTTACTCCCATTGAAGGAACAAACATAAGGTGACGCCCCTACTGAAGGCAACAATGTGGGAACAGAATGTGTAATGAACTATAGTGATCAATTCACAACTTATTCGATAATTATTTGTCTAAAATCCTTTTTAGTATCATTAACGTGGCATTAATGTTTCAAATTTTATATTTAAATAATATGAGTTTTATGTGTAGATATTCAATGGTAGAGATGCATTACTTCGATGGGCTCGTGAACAAGGAAAATTGAATAATATTGTCATTGTAATTAAAAGGTCTGATTATGGAGGTGAGGGCAAGAGGAGACCTCGTGTAATACTTGTTTGTGAGAGGAACGATAACTATAAGTCTTGCAAGTCTAGTGAGACAATTGATATAAGGTCGGATGCAAATAGTGATATGAAAAAATGTGATAGGGACACTGGTACCAAGAAATGTGGATGCCCATTCTTGTTAAAAGGTGTCAATATTGGTGATGGGGATGATTGGAAGTTGGAGGTGGTTTGTGGAGTACACAACCATCCTATTTCAGAGTATCTTCAAGGTCATTCATTTGTGGGGCGACTTACTGAAGAG